TTGGGGTTTGGCGGGTTTAGGGTTTTGGGGTTTAGGGTTTTGGGTTTTGGGGTTTAGGGATTAGGGTTTAGGGTTTGGGGTTTAGGGATGAGGGTCTCAGTGCCTGAACATCTCATGGGGAGCTAGGAGGGTGGCCAGGCAGGGGGCTGTAAGGGATATATTGCCCAATTACGGATTAATCCGAGCACTTCATTAATTTTGGGGGGACTCCCCCCAAGGAATGGAGGGCGCCAGATTAAAAGAATGATTGGGACTCCTGGAACTCAATCAAAAAAGAGTAGGAATGCATTCCTGCGTCACTGGGGCTCTTGGACCTCTATTAATTACAAATGAATAGGAATGTATTGAATATCTCTATTATCAGGATTGGTTCCCCAAAAATTTTCTTTCAATCTAGTCAATTTTCCCCATACGAAAGCCGATAATTGTAGCCAGTCTGCGGGGCCGAATTCTACCCAAAGCGATTCTTTAAATATAGGCCCTTTTATTAATGCAGCGCTCGGATTAAATAGGAGCCAGATGAGCCATAAATAAGGGTAAGAATCCCTTTAGGACCCCCCCGTTTTGCAGCCTCCTAGCTCCCCAGGCACATCTGTGCAACGAGAGCATATCGCAGCATGCCTTAGGAGGACCCCCCACNNCCTAATAGAATCCCTATTATCCCTTGTAGTCACTATTACTGGGTGGGGGGGTCCACCAAAAGCATACCTGAGGTAGTCTGCCAACCATTTGCGGAGCTGACACCCTTTGAGGCCTGCCAAAGCCTTTCGCGATGTACGAGATGACTGCAAAAGAGGGTTTAGGGATTAGGGATTAGGGTTTAGGGTTTAGGGATTAGGGTTTAGGGTTTAGGGTTTAGGAGTATGTGTCATTACATCGGGGTGACATGGTCATAATGGAAAACAAAATGGAACACACTATTCAGGGTTTATTACTGCCAAACCTACCCGGTAAATCGGATATACTGCCGCGGCCCGCATTTTCTTTTGGATTCACCCAACATTAACCTACCTACCCACTTAAGGACAAATACGCCCCCCTATGTAGTATATAGAGGTCTATACAGGCTTTGTTTTTATCAGGGGGTAGGGGGATGGCCATTGGGGGAAGGGGATTATGATCCTCGTTGACTAGGTTGCGGTTAGGGCACTTAAATTAAGTCACTATGATCAGGCAACCCCATTATCTACTGTATGTCCATATTATGGTGCCCTATACCCTTTGATACTATATACCCATATTGGGCCCTAAACCCTAAGCCCTAAGTTCCTTAACAGCAACCCAGTTGAAGGCTGATGTGCCTTGCATTGATCTGGGAGAATCGGGTCGCAAGCTCAGACTTCTGAGGCGGCAAAGCTTCAAAGATGCAGGCAGAACACAGGGCTGCGCATTTGGGTTACCAAAGATTAAAGGGGGTTTCCCAAAATTGAGGGTACCTTTTTGGGGGGTCCCTATAATCAGGATTAGAGTATTTTGGGGTCTAAATTGGGGTCCCCTATTAAGGGAAACCACCATATAGGGTTATATAGTAGTACTGGAAAAGAAAATGGAAATTATTGTGTGGGGTTTAGGGGTACATTTTACCCACCAGAGTGGAGAAGTGAATGGAGAAGAACATGGAACATGAGATGAAAAGTGGCATGCTTAGTGTTTTATAGGAGTCTCAAGGATATGGTAGGTTGTCAACATTACTATATGTTCTTTGGGGTCTCTATCAGAAAACAGAGTTGGGGAATCCAAAAAAGGAGCATAATTCTGATATCCCGCCAGATATTACCTAATCGGAATCCTACTAGAGAAACTTCCATTGCTCTCGCTTCTGACCAAGGCCCTTTCAGGTGCAACAGGTGCAAGGCGTATGTCAATGCCTTCTTCACGTGGCACAACGGTGGCAAGGAGGCCATCTGCTGTCTCCGTTGAGCATGAACAGTCTTGCTAGTTTTCTTGTGTAACCCCTCAAAAAAAAGCCTCGTAATCCCATCATGGTCCTTTTTCCTGCGGGTCCCTAAAGGCTCGCCAATTTGAGAAACCCAAAACCTTAAATCCTAAAATGGAACCCCAATGTACAGAGATGCTGTCTTCGCCCCGGCTTCAATCTTTACTCCCCCTTGGCAGCAGTACATCAGGATTTCCAAAAAACAGGGCCTCCTTTGAGGCTCTGTGACAAAGAGAATAGTCTATACCGTAAACCCTAAACCCTATTTTACTTGGTTTTGTATTTTGGAACCCCCTATTTAATTTACGAAACCTTAAAACGGCAGCAGGCGACTTGCAACTTTTGCGGGCAGCGTGTGGAGGCCGGTGTTTGCTAAAGATATATTGCATGAACTCTTGGAAGCTGTGCTTAACGTTACATTGATATGAACAAGTGCTATAAGTTGCCCATCATCAGTAGTAGCCAATCGCAGCTAGAGATACCATACATTAGTTAAAACATATATATATACACACATATTCATGTGTATATATACGTGTATATATATATATACATATATATATATATAACCCCAATGTAAACCCTATTCTAATATCTTAGTTTTCATTCTCTTTTCCATTATCCTTCTCTAACGCTTATATAACCCCATACACCCCTATGTAATGTTGAAAGGTGCCCATGGAGTACATGTGCAATCTTGACGAGAAGGGACAGCGCGCAGACAAGGCATCGCACTGGAGCTTCCCTGCATTCCTCCCGTATTCCCTGTACATTCCCAGAGAGTCCATTTTAGCTTAATTGAGGAATACACCTTAAGAGATAGTAGGACCCTTGATATGATTTAGGGTATATTCCGTAGTTAAGCTAGATTGGGCTCCCAGGGTTCCTAGCGTGTCAGGGGCGGGTACCGTACTTTGAGACAGCCCGGCTATGTGAGCTACTGTGAATATTTGCCCAACCAAGGGACCATTAGGGTTTAGGGTTTAGGGCGGACATAGCGGTCTCTCTTGTAGTTTCATGCCAGTTGCCGAATATATGTTCCACTAGAAGCCCGTGTCCATTGATTACAGGGGCAATGAGGACTGTAGCTCATACAGGGACTGCATGGGGATTGGAAAGTGTGATTGTGGATTTAGGGACAGTATACCACCCTAACCTGAACCCTAATATGAATAAAGGGACTTTACTGGGAACCTCAAACAGGGAAGCCCAAGAATATAATAAGAATATGCCTACCAGGGTCCTTATATTCCATTATCTTCCTACTATATTCTTGGGGTTCCTGTTTGGGGTTCCCAGTATTGTCCCTTTCATGAACAAGTTCGGCACACCAGGGCTCCCGGCCCGAGCTCAATCGCGGCACTGTCGACTACGTGGCGCGAAGCCTAGGCATAGGAGCGCCCCAGAGGGGCTGATCTTGGTATATGGGCCCTTTTAAAAGGGGTCTACAGGGGGATATATAGGGTTATGTAATAGGGGTTATAGAGGGGTATATAGGGTTAAGGGTAGGGATCATCGGGATAATGGAAAAGAAGATGGAAACTACTATTTAGGGTTAGGGTTTAGCGGTATGGGGTTTCCCAAATTAGGGATACCATTTTGGGGGTCCCTTAAATAAGAACTACAATATTCGGGGTCTATCTTGGGATCCCCCTATCTAGGGAAGCTACCTTATCAAATTCGCTTACGAAGTATATAGGGGATACTGGAAAAGAAGCTGGAAGCTACCATTTAGGGTTTAGGAATATTACCCCGACAATGGAGAAGCTAATGGAAAAAGAATGTAAAATTAAATTGAAACTGGGGGTTATCGAGGGTATGTAACTTACCTGTGGTTGGCAGGGAATGAAGGGGTGGAAAGCAAAAATAGGAGCTACCATATCATTGGGTACTACATGAGGACTACTACAGGGATGCATTCCTTCATTCCTTGGTAACCAGAGGTAAGAGTGAGGGCTCTCTTTTTGTGCGGGGCACCTAGATGGGAACCTACTTGGAGCAAAATTCTGGCTTACTAGCTCGCATACACCTGCTGCCGCTGCCACGGGAACTGCTGCTGCCGCCGCTGCTTCTGCGGCTGCTGCTGCTCCCGGTGCAACGACGGCTGCTGCTATTATGTATATTTGTATTGTTGAGAAGCGCCTATGACGAAGGAAGATGTTCAGGAGGAGTTTCCACATAGTTTCAGTTTGAGGCTCCAAGCGACTACTCAGAATCGGCGCCTGTGGTTCCTGCCACGATCTTTGTCATAGAAGCGTGCGTGACTCAGCAGTTTCGGAGAAGTACTTGTTACTGTAGCTAGGTGCAGACACTTTTTGCCGAACAGGACGCAGAGATCTGTGCAGTGCGGGCTGCTACCGCAGGTGCGCTCATGGCCTTTCGAAGCCCATTTGGGGATATACAAGATTCGGGTCCCTTTTGGTGATCCCTGCGCTAAGGAGTCTATGCTTGGACCACATGTTTTTCGAAAGCCCCATTTGTAACACTCAGGAACCCCAACCATAGAGCGTGTACAGAAGGGTAGTGATGGTGCAGGTTGCATGGGGAACAAGGGAATGAGCCATGTCGTAGTCCCCCCATAATCCCGTATAGTGGTACATACAGCCTTCCTTCTTCCCCACTGGTAAGCATTCTGTACAGGTCATGTGGACACTGCGATCCTTGCTGGGCTTTATGGAGAAGCCGTCGTCCAGGACGCATGGCCGGTGTGCTGTTGCTAACTAAGAGAATACTTCAATCCAAGGTTAGAAGTATGGGCTCCTGATATCGGCCCATTTTAGGGGGGGATTCTAGGGACCGTTACGGGTGCATAATGGTGCATAGTACCGGTATATAAGGCTCCCAGGGTTGAGGGCCCATATTGGGGGGCCATGGTTTCAACCTTAGATTCAAAGACAACCCGGGAGACCTGAGAAGGAGGATTTTGCTGTTCGAGAGGCGTGGTTGTTGGGTAAGGCGATGCCATTGTGATGGAAGGCCGCCTGGCGCATAGGGGAGTGCCAGCATGTCACCTGCAGCAGCGGCACGCTACAATCCAGCAACAGAAAGAATGCTACCTTCAACCCTAAACCCTAAACCTTCAGAAAAGCTCCCACTCCTGCCCTTATGCAAGACAGCCATTAGGACATCGTGAAAGAGAATTTCTATAAGCTGAATATGGTGGTTTCCCAAAATTAAGGGCACCATTTTGGGGGTCCCCATAATAAGGATTATAGTATGTTGGGGTCTATATTAGGGTCCCCCTATTCAGGCAAATTACCCTATATTCACCATAGAATTCTAGGGTGTCTATGACGGATGGAGGAAAGTGTGCACCATGTACCCCCTTCACCTTGTACGTCCGAGCCTATAAGGTATATAGGGTGGTGCAAGATTCCCTCCCCCCACGGTATCCTAGATCCAAAACTCCCAAAACCCTAAATCCCTAAACCCAAAACTCCAAAACTCTAAATCTGAAAACCCTAAACCCCAAAACCTTCAATCCCTAAACCTTAAATTGCTGAAAACTAGCCCGCCTAGGCAGTTCGCAGTATGTTTTACAATCGGGGGCCAGTCTGCCAGTAGCTTCCTTATGCGTAGTAAGTTTTAGTAGGGAATGCAGGGTTTTAGGGTTTAGGGTTAAGAAATTATAGGGATGCATGTAGCAGATGCTAGAGGAACTACGTAGTATAGGGATCCACCTTCATTTCCTATTATCATGTGTTCCCCTTCTATTCCCCCTATACTACCCTCTATTGTTCCTCTTTCTTAACCTTTTTTGGGCCTAACAACCTTAATTAAGGGCGGAATCTACAGAGGGGTAGTATAGAGGGGGGTAGTAGGGGAACCCATCATACTAGGCACAAGGTAGCTACAGGAGAAGGAAGGCGTAACCCTCTGCCGCTAAGAGCAAACAGACAGATGCTTCTGAGATCTCAAACTGTACTCTCCCTAGGAATGAGTTTTCATGTTGTATAGTAGTATAACTCGTAGGAATTAGTTACAACAACATCTTCTGCAACCCTTAACCCCAAAATCCTAAACCCCAAATTCCTAAACCCCTAA